AATAGTTTGAAGCTATGGGTGATCAAAAGTTTCTTAGAGGGCCAGGAGAAATTATCAGGGTTGTACAGTGGTACCTCAGGTTACATACGCTTCAGGTTACATACGCTTCAGGTTACAGATTCCGCTAACCCAGAAATAGTGTTTCAGGTTAAGAACTTTGCTTCAGGATAAGAACAGAAATCAGGCTTTGGCGGCGTGGCAGCAGCGGGAGGCCCCATTAGCTAAAGTGGTGCTTCAGGTTAAGAACAGTATCAGGTTAAGAACGGACCTCTGGAATGAATGAAGTACTTAACCCGAGGTACCACTGTACTCCTCTGTCCATCTCCTGACAAAGGCCATTGGCTTGAGTGACCAATGCAGTTTCAGTTCCAAAACCAGGGCAGAAACAAGATTCTGACTCCAGAGTTCAGCTGATTTAGCCATTCTGTTTTTGTGTCTACCATCCATATGAGTTCAAACCACCTGCTTTGGCCAATAAACACCAAAACAAGATAACAAAAATTTGTAAAACATAGTAAATAATGAAATCATCTTTGCTGTGAGTCCTGGAGGACCTTCGCCCTGACATGCAGGACTTTTTCTGCCTGACCTGGAAGGAGAGGGCCCCAACTGACTCCAACTACAGGAGCTGGGGCTGCTGAGGAGGCCAGAGACCATCTCATCTGTCTCATAGTGCAGGCCCAGGTCACTAAGCCTGAGCTTCCACAGCCGCCCGCCATGAACCACCAATGGTGGGATTGGCAGCATCGGTAGCAGATCTGTTCTGTGCTTAATATTTTATTCTCTTGTTAATTATGCTGTTTTAAATGTGCATTTTATATCTGACTTCCTTTAGCAATGCTTTGTTTTGAAATATTTAAGATAATATTTTAGTTTCCTGTTAACTGTGTTGCTTTGAATGTCTACTTTATATTTGACTTTCTTCAGTAATGTTTTATGCAAGATTGTTTTTTTGACGTTTTAATTAATGTGATGTAAACTGCTTTGAGATTTTTCTTAAAAATGTAAAGTGGTATAGAAAACAAAAACAACATCATCAACCAACCTCAATGATGCTTGTTAAGCTAAATGTTAAAGGTAAAGGTACCCCTGCCCGTACGGGCCAGTCTTGACAGACTCTAGGGTTGTGCGCTCATCTCACTCTAGAGGCCGGGAGCCAGCGCTGTCCGCAGACACTTCTGGGTAACGTGGCCAGCGTGACAAGCTGCATCTGGCGAGCCAGCGCAGCACACGGAATGCCGTTTACCTTCCCGCTGGTAAGCGGTCCCTATTTATCTACTTGCACCCGGGGGTGCTTTCGAACTGATAGGATGGCAGGCGCTGGGACCGAACGACGGCAGCGCACCCTGCCGCGGGGATTCAAACCGCCGACCATGCGATCGGCAAGTCCTAGGCGCTGAGGTTTTACCCACAGCGCCATCCGCGTCCCTAAGCAAAATGTTATGGATGATGATAATAATAATAATAATAATAATAATAATAATAATAATAATAATAATAATATACCCTGCCCATCTGGCTGGGTTTCCCCAGCCACACTGACACATATAAAAACATAATAAAACATCAAACAGTAGCAATCTGATCCAATATAAAAAGTCACAATAACTTTAAAATAAACAACATTCAACAATCCATCAGAATCTAATAGTAAACAGTAAAATTATACATCAGCAAATAATAAACAGTTTGTACTTATCAATCACAATAAAGAATTACCAATCCATAAGCAATCAAAATAACAGCAAATCACAACGCATAAAATACCACAAAACATACAAAACCATGTAAAAGGATCAAATTGAGAAACATGGACACACAACTTCTAAGACTATTTAAAAAATATTCCTGAACACCTCTCTTCCCAGCTGCTTCTACTGTTCTCAAAGTCATGTATTCAAGGTTAAAAAAAGAGATCCTTTTCTTTTCGTTGATATGGATTTAAAGCGGGGTTTAGACCACATTCTGGTCCATTGAGTGGGGTTAATCTCATAGCCTATGTCATTCTCCCATTGTTTTTTGATTGCGTCTAGGGGGTTTGAAGAACTCATAACCCACCTACTTTCAGCAGCCAGAAACACCATAACCAGACACTGGAGAGACCTGTCAGGAGTAAGCATGGACCAATGGTACCAAATAGTATGGGAAACAGCCCTACTAGAAAAATTAACCAATAAACTGAAACTGACAAACAGAAGAAGACGCCTTTACCCCGGTATGGCTCCCCTTTATCACATACACAGCCCAACAAGACAATGACAATAATCCACCAACAGCATACAAATCAATATGGCTAACCTGATCCAAAACACCCCGCCACCCCACTCACACACGAAAACAAAGATCACCACAGCCAATCACAAACAAACAACCACACCCTAGGCCGACCCCAACCTCTCTCACCACCAAAGGAACACAAGTGAACAGCACAAGCAACGCTGACACCAAACCCTACATACATTAAGCATAATAGAAACATCGCCACTCCACCCCACCCCCACCCATCTTCCCCCCCTTTTTTCTCCCCCCCAATGTCTCAACGGATTTGTAAAAATGTTACATGGAAAAAATACGAGAGACATTACACGTACTTCTGTAAAACAAGAAAATCTTGAATAATAATAAAAAAGATCCTTAAATTCAATCTCTGGTATTTCCAGATAAACTTGGGTGTGTCCCCTGTTTGAAAACCTGGCTGGCAGTCAGTGTACGTAATATTGAGCTAGATGGAGCAATGGTCTGACTGGGTGCAAGGCAGCCTCCTATGCTTCTACGAAGCAGTTCTAGAAATGGGGCAAGGCAGTGCAATCTAGTCATCATGTATAATATTTACTTTTATGTCAAGAACCAGTAGTGAAGTTGTGATGACTGCAAACATTTCCGTTTGTTGCACAAAGAGTAAAAGAAGCAACGCAATGGGCCTCTTACAGGCTCACTCCTGCCACCCCCAGCTTCTGGGGCTTTGGGCTAAGCCTCTTTTTGAAAGAGACCTTCTGGGGCCGGGCCTTAAAGCAACATTTCCAACACACTACAAACGTCTTAAAAGTTTCTATTAACTCTGTCCACATCTGGACAAAAGGGAATGCTGAGCTGCTCCGTATCGCATTACCAATTAATGTTTAAATAGCCCTTCCAATTATATGATTTAATTTTACAACCATTTTACAAATTGGCTTAGGTACAAAGATAATGTAAATTCTGCCAGTAGGCTTTATTTATATACCCTTAAAGGCAGGGGGGAAAATGAAATATTCCCGGAGTCGATGGGAGAAGTGGGGCTCTGCACTCCTCAGCAGAAAAGGAAATTAGAGGGCCCCTTTCCCCACTATTTTCAAATACTTTGCTCTTTCCAAGAAAAACAAGTTGTAAATGGCTGGGGCAAAAGCTCTAAATTCCAGCTTCTAGAAAAAACACAGTTGCTAATTAACTGAATTTTGTTTCTAATGTAAAGAAGAGTGCTGTTAAAAATTCTGCATCAGCAAATATGGGATTTATACTTATTACATGATATAATAAATTCAGATGCCAATAAACTGTGTGCCAATTATCAAGCGGAGTGACTGCATGACCAACACAGGGAATCTGAAACACACTACATGCGTGGAACACTCCAGATTTGTACTCTGCTATTCTGGATATAAAGCCCCCACAATTTTACTTTTGAGTGTGTTGACTTTCTCGAAGAACTAACATTTCATTGCTTTCCTTTACATAAACAAAGAGGACTAAAAGGAATCTTGAATGTTTAGAACAGAACTTTACTTGTTTTTAAATGCCCATGCTCACTAGGAAATTCTAGCTGGTTGAGTCAGCACATCATTGGAACTATGTTCTTATGGCACAGATCCAATAATAATTGAATAATGAAATACATCATTATGACCAGGGCTGGCTCAAGACATTATGCTGCCTAAGATAAAGGAGAAGTTGGTGCACCCTCATTCCATGTTCAGAAACGAAATGGATTTGTAATTGAATCTTACTTCAACTGGTAACAGGATCGTGTTCCTCCAGTGCACCTGATGGCAGCAGGCTAATTTAGGAGATACTGTATATGAAAAGGCCTGTGGTACACTAAGCTCTGATCTCCAACAGATGGGAATGGCTGGGGGAGGGGGAATCAATGTCTGAGGTGCGCTGGTGCTGACCTCCAACATCTGCCACCCGAGGCGATTGCCTCACTCTGCCTAAAGGTAGGGCCAGCCCTGATGGAGACCACCAATAATCATTCTGCAAATCAGAAACAGCAGGCCATGTCACAGCAGACCATGTCTATTCTGTTGTATGGCTCCAACAATGTTGTTGTTGTTTAGTCGTTTAGTTGTGTTCGACTCTTCATGACCCCATGGACCAGAGCATGCCAGGCACTTCTGTCTTCCACTGCCTCCCGCAGTTTAGTCAAACTCATGCTTGTAGCTTCGAGAACACTATCCAACCATCTCGTCCTCTGTCGTCCCCTTCTCGTTGTGCCCTCCATCTTTCCCCACAACAGGGAGTCTTCTCTTCTCATGAGGTGACCAAAGTATTGGAGCCTCAGCTTCACGATCTGTCCTTCCAGTAAGCACTCAGGGCTGATTTCCTTAAGAATGGATAGGTTTGATCTTCTTGCAGTCCATGGGTCTCCTCAAGAGTCTCCTCCAGCACCATAATTCGAAAGCATCAATTCTTCGGCGATCAGCCTTCTTTATGGTCCAGCTCTCACTTCCATACATCACTACTCGGAAAACCATAGCTTTAACTATACGGACCTTTGTTGGCAAGGTGATGTCTCTGCTTTTTAAGATGCTGTCTAGGTTTGGGTCCAACAATAGCTACAGCTATAATAGACCGGCAGTTGTAACTGAATAATAGTTAAGAAAACAGTTGCACTCCCAGCAATCGTGGGATCATGGTAGCTTTGGAACATCTGCTGGCAGCTTTTAGCACACAAATTGTAGTACTGGTTACTTGGGGGACCAGATGCCTATTTATGCTATTCACTTTTTGCCATTTTTTTAAAAAATACAACTGGGTTTGTTTATTATTCAGCAATTTATGCAACAACTTCAAGCTCAATACAAAGCCGTTGTGTGGAAAACAATAATAGTTTAGTTAACGTGGATTTTTTTTCTAGATCAGCACAATCATGGTTATGGTAACTATTATTTCATCATGAACACCGAAGTAAATAGGCTTATAAAACACGAGGAAGCTAGGCCACCATGGAAGAAGCTATTGTCTTAGAACTGGCACAAGTACTTCTTCCTTTGAAGTCCTTAAATCCAGAAATAAACATTTGGTGTGTCCTATCAGTTTATTCTGATAGGGGGATGCGGGTGGCGCTTACTAGCGGGAAGGGACCGCTTACTAGCGGGAAGGTAAACGGCGTTTCCGTGTGCGGCTCTGGCTCGCCAGAGCAGCGATGTCACGCTGGCCACGTGACCCGGAAGTGTCTGTGGACAGCGCTGGCCCCCGGCCTATAGAGTGAGATGGGCGCACAACCCTAGAGTCTGTCAAGACTGGCCCATATGGGCAGGGGTACCTTTACCTTTACCTATCAGTTTATTCCAGCAAATGTGGTAAGGTGATATTTTACCTGCTCTTGAAAACCTTCTCGGACAGTACATTACTACTGAAGCAGCCCATTAAGAGAATTTACAACTAACTGAAAGGCTGTGATTAGCAATGTTATGGGGTACTTATGCTAATACCTTTTTAAAATTCTTGATCAGTATTCCTAGGAGTATGCCTGGAGATCAGCCCTATGAAGGAAGTTACAGTGCAGAGCAGACATGGAGCTTTGTCTATGGGCTGTTTGTACTTGGCTGTAGCCCCTATGCATGCATGAGGGCACTGCAAAGTTTGCTGCCAGACAGCGCTCAGGTGCCATTTGTGTGAACCAGTGTTTCTGCATGGAGGCTGCATTCATGGTCCTTGAAATAGCCACAGCACTTTGGAAAAGGACTGCCGCTGTTGTGGAAATCAAAGGGGCCATTTATAGAGCTCCCATATGGAAGTCCTGGTTCAACCCACATGGTATCTTCATGGGAAAGCTGCCTGGTGATGGGTTTACTGGCAAGCTTGTGCATTCTCAAGGTACCCGTGTGATGTTTTAACATAATGGTCTATGGCTCTTAAAGTTAACACATGAAGAATTCAGGTTCACCAACGTAATCTATCCAACTTGTTGAAAATCTGTTAGCAGCTAGAGCTGAAGAAGGCCTCAAAATGGAAGTATAAACACATAAACACATTCGATCAATGAAATAGTGAACTGATCAATTATGGAATACTACAAACTCCATTACACTAACAACCTTTGTTCATGCCAGAAAAAAATCCAGAAATAATAATCATAATAAATTATTGGAATTATTATATTAGATACTGGACTACTTCTCATACATTAAGTATTTCTGAGTTGTTGGCATCTGTCTGTCTCGGGAGACAATGCAAGAGTGTGCCTTTGAGGGTGAAGTCAAACTGTTGGAGAGTTACAGCTCCTGCTGTGGTTGTAGATACCAATATGGGAGACATGTTTTGTTGCAGCTGGGGAAGATGAAGACATCTGTTTGTTTATTTTTAAGAATAATTTTTTATTAACCGACCAATCACATCAAATCAAACCAAATTACATAAATTCCAAATTACACAGCCGAATTTTAAATTTTTGTTGGGGGTACCCATATTTCAAGTTCCGAAGGGGATCCAATCAACTTCTTGCTTCTTACTGCTGTTTTAATGTCCACAAATCTAACCTTATGATGTTCACAGTACTATCCAGTCCTTTCTTATTGTTTTTCCACATCTCTTGTTGTTATTTTCATATATTTTTCCTTTCTCTTTGTGACCTCTGATAGTCTCCACAAGCTGGTTAGAACATTTTGTAATCCTTCGTGGATATTATTTTTTTTATCCAGTAGCCATATCCAGACGTTTTCCATATAACATCACTTCCATACATCAAAACAGTCTTAGCGTCATTAATCTTCACCAATCTGCCTCCTTTCTCAAAACCTCTGAGGAGATTCACCAGGAATGCAGTCTGAAAACAAGTCCGTTCTTCCTTCCGGCTATAAATCCTTTGGCAAGATGGCGACTCCGAATTAATCACTGCGCCATTCCAAAAGCTCTTATTGCTTCTCGATCTCCATAAAGCATACTTTTGGTTAAAGTTTATCTCCGCACAGACCTTAATCATCCTGCTTGGGTCAGTTCAACCGACGATTCTAATGAGGAGGGGTTCTTGTAAATCACATAGAAGAAGATGAAGACATCTGGTTGTGTTGATGTAGATGTACTATGGTGCTTCTTCTTTCTGTGCTCCTCACAGTGGTAATTCCTCCCCTAGTAACTGCTGTGGCTACACAATCTGACTGATTGTCTCCAGGCACTGTGGTTGTTTGCAAGGGATTCCCACATGGCGGGGTTGATGTTGCCAGCCTTCATGTTTTGTTTGCAGACATCTTTGTAGCGTGAAGTTGGTGTGCCAACAGGCCTGGTACCTAAAACACATCCTTGGGGATCCTGCCATCTTGTTCTGTGGACATGACCAAGCCGGCGTAGATGTCGTTGAGACAGGAATGCAAAAATGCTGGGGATGTGGGCTTGGGAGAGCACATATTTGTTTGAGACCCTGTCCTGCCATGTGATGCCCAAAATCTTCCTGATGCAGTGCATATGGAATGTGTTGAGGCATTGCTCCTGGTGGATGTAAGCTGCCCAGTTCTCACTACCATAAGGCTCAACACACAATCTTGGTAGAGCTTCATCTTGATATTCATTGTTAGCCTCACCTTCTCCCATACCCTTTTGGAGAGAGGAGCCATTGCCATAGCTGCCTTGCAAATACGCATGTTCAGTTCAAAGTCAAGTGGAGTTGCTGGTTCTGTTGCACAAGTGGAAGTCTGCTTCATGAGCAGAACAGCAGCATTGGCCACAACCCTGTATTTTCCTTCATTGAAATTTTTCATTTTTCTCTTGAACACATTTTCCCTACTTTAGATGCAGATATTGCACTTATTGTATGTATTTGAATTTATTAATATAATTATTTCATTTACATCCTGCTGTTTAAACAAATTGTACTCAAGGTGGAAAAGTCAACCACAAAAATGAGCTACTTTAAAACACAATAGAAATACCTTCTATGAACGAAACATAGCAAAAAGCATTTAAAAAGCACAAAAAGCCCCAATAAAAATAGCAAAAAAATAAACTAAGAGAGTTTACACTTTTCTAAAAGCCTGTCCAAACAAATATGCTTCCCATCTGTGGGGTGAAAAAAAACTTTCAAAACCCATTATATTACTTAGCATCTACATTGGGCTTGGTTTTATAGCTATCTGTAGCCCATCAAATATAGAATTAAATGCTCTGATCTATTAGATTAACTGTCTTAGATTTAGGCCTCTGGCTTATCAAGGAAAAACATAAACAAACTAAAACCCTAAATCCTATCCCATATATTTGTGCTTTGATAAATTATGCCATCTCAGACACAGTGAAAATGATTCATGTTGATGGTGTTATGAAGCTAATGCCAATTTGATTCACATGTTCTGATGCTGCCCAGAAGTTGTACAATTTTGGCAAAATGTTGGAGCTAGGTTTAATTTTTGCTTTCCACATCTAATTTTACTTGAAAATATTAATCCTGAGACGTTAATTTATTTATCTTAAGATGGATCAGGCCAAGTCTAGCATCCTGTTCTCACAGTGGCTGAACGGTTTGCCTGTGGGAAACCAGCAACCGGGATTTGAGCCCAAGAGCACCGATCCGTCCTGTGCTTTCCAGCAACTGGCATTCAGAAGCATTGCGGCTTTCAGTTTTGGAGGCAGAACATAGCCACCTAGACCTGCTTAGCTTCAGCAAGCTGGTGGCCTCGTGCGCCTTCAGACCATCTCCTGTGACCTGTCCTTTGTGAAGTCCCTACACATCAGGCGCTTTAGATTCATAGTACTGCTTTGATGAGGGACGTGGGTGGCACTGTGCTGTAAACCACTGAGTCTCTTGGGCTTGCCGATCCGAAGGTTGGTGGTTTGAATCCCTGCGACGGAGTGAGCTCCCGTTGCTCTGTTCCAGCTCCTGCCAACCTAGCAGTTTGAAAGCACACCAGTGCAAGTAGATAAATAGGTACCGCTGCGGTGGGAAGGTAAATGCCGTTTCCGTGCGCTCTGGTTTCCGTCACAGTGTTCTGTTGTGCCAGAAGCGGTTTAGTCATGCTGGCCACATGACCCGGAAAGCTGTCTGTGAACAAACGCCGGCTCCCTCGGCCTCAGTGAGATGAGCACTACAACCGCATAGTCGCCTTTGACTGGACTTGACCGTTCAAGCGTCCATTACCTTTTTACTGCTTTGATGGCCAAAGGGATTGTGTTGCAACTTCTAAAGTCCTATGTTCCCCCTTTGGCAAGTAATCTGCCACTTCTACATATGTGTCTAGATGTTCTTCTTTACCCCCTCCTCTGCTCAGTTTCCTTTTTTCTCTCTCCTTCTATATTCAACCTTTTATTCTTTCTTGTCTGCTGTTTGCTCTCACAGCCTATTGACTGAATTTTTTGCGCCCATTTTCCTCCATTGGGTGAGCTAGGGAGGGGAAGGTGTAAGTGTGAGTCATGTGGGCTTTCTCATCATTATGTGCTTGTGTCTATTATTATTTATCCAGACTACAGGTGGGTTGTGAACTCTCAGCCTGGGGGGAGAAGAGAGACAAGATGGGAGGATCTGAGAAGAGATGCTCCTCAGAGTCTGCCTTCAGGTACAGGGCTGTTTGAAACCCCTATTACAAAACTTGGAGGAAATGAAAGTTCCCCATAAAAGTTACAGATGATACAAAAGCTTGGATAATTTGACATTAAAGAAATGGGAATAATAGTCAAAAACGGTATTAATAATCAGGATTACTAGAATGTAGCAGAGCTACATTTTTGAAAGAGGAAAATGAGAAACTCATAAAAATGAGTTTCTTTCACCAGAAAGACAAATGCCATTTTGGTTTCTATGACAGGCGGAGCAGTTTGCAACACCCTTCATATGGTATCAAGTCCAGTTTTGGTCACTACTATCTGAGGAGGATACAAAACAAAGAAAGACTGCACAGATCAACCAACATGCAAAAGGATTCAGAATGGCATATCGGAGGAAGACAGGCTGGGGTCCTGGGCATTTATAAACTGAAAATAATAAAACTAAGAGGCTCGTTCAAATATCTAAATGGCAATTCTAATGGTGAATGGGTATATTTCTTTTTCTTTTGGAAGCCTGCAACAACAAAAGTCAGGTGAGCCCTATTTTTTTTACTCCAGTTAAAAAAGGCTTTGCCTCAATACAATCACTACTGAGGTGGCAAACTTGTGTGCTTTTGGTTCTTTGTGCAGTTTTGGCAATTGTGTCAATTTTACAGATGCGCCACCTCAAAGGCACTGTAAACGTTTAACAGCCAAATATTGTTCTTACTTCCGAAAAATGCTAGTGCACAGCAGAATATTCTTGCAATATGACACTTCATGGAGCTTAACATTTTTATTTTAAAATTCCTTATCTAAGAAGCACCTAAGAAGGATCAACGTGCTTCTCCTTTAACAGAGAGCAGCCATTGGAAAACATCTTTAATATCAAGAAGAAAAGCTTGCACTATACCACTGCTCACCTCTCTCCAGTACATTTTTCATGGTGGAAACATCCGTTTTTAAGAACGGGTGGCATAATTTCTAAATTAATAGAACAGCTCATAAGGTGAGTGGTTGAAAGCAGCATTAAAGTATCTTAAATACCTGAGCTGCAGCTTCTCCGTTCACTCACAGCCTACTAGGTATATACTAGAATACCTATTGCACCTGCATTTATACTGGAGCAATCGAGGAAACAATGCTAAATAGAAAGATTAATTGAAACAGGTGAGTCACAAAGAAATGTGCTGTTATATTTAGGATGATTAATTCCAAAGTGATTCAGATCGTTTCCAGTAACAGGGCTTTTATCAATGGCGGCTGTAAGGCTAAGCTATGATTTTTAAGTATTTCATCTTTGCAAAGCTGCTGCAGCTAGCAGAAAGGAGGGGCGCAGAAAGAAGAGATTTGCTCCGTAGCTGAAATAGCCCAGGGGTGCTTCAGAATCCTTCCCACAGCACATCTTTACAGCATGCCATTGACATTACGAACCTCCCCAGTGCTGTAGAGCAGCTCATTTTCCAGCCAGAGACAATTTATCAGATACTCAGGCTGTGTGGAAGAAGAAGATCCCTGTTAATTTAGCAGGAATGATAATGATGCCACAGCCTTTTGATAATTGAAAATTCAGTATCTTCCACAGAAAATAATGGATAAAATGATGTAAAGGATCCAAACTAGGTTAAAAAATAATAATCAAACCTCTAATGAAAGCAGCCTTCTTTGGGTGCTGTCCCACTCTTCTCTATATTACAGGTCACTGCATCAAGTTACTATTTGCTTATGGTGCGTTGAAAAGCAAACCAGACATCA